CCCCTTCTGAAAGACGCCAGGTTAAATGACGCGGACGATATTAATTCAGGAGTTCGAAAAGCCTCTATTAGAATTTGATTGGCAGAAAATTAGGAACGGATTTGCGTTTAGTGTAATGAATATTATCGTCACGATCGACATCCTCATATAATCTTTGTACCCCAGTGAGTCGAGAATTGTTTAGTAGCAAATAATTCTTGAATACATATTTCCACGAAGAATTTACTTTAATTTTCCAGTGAGTGTACTTTAAGCCGCCTCACTGCGTGACAGACAATGTAGCACTGAGCTGTCACATTAGCCTCTTGGTGTATCTCTGGTTCTCAGTACAGCGCCTACGTTCCTACTGCTTCTCAGGATCGATTCCGGTGTGAAGAAACAGAAACGGGAAATTTTGCGTCGAAGAGTGGCTCCTAAGTAAAAGTGCTAGAGGCCGGAAGCGTAGTCTTTTGTAAACGGTGAATAGGCTATAACATGAACACGGAAGTGTTTCAGTTTCCTGATGCTTTTCAGCTCTTTTAAAAATGGATGGAGAATAGATACATTTTGCTAAATTATGAGCTTCATAACGTGAAGTCTTCGGCAATTATTTTTCTTAGCGAGAAGGATATGATGAGTGAGGTGACACGAATGTTTTTGACTTTTTCTTCCAGACATTTCATTAGCAAGCATTTCTACTAAGCTCCAGAAGCATCGTTCAGAGCCGGAAAGTATTATAATATTGTTTTCCTGCCACCCGAACTGCGAATATAACTTAGTTATGATTTCTTGAGGACAGAAGAAGCCTTCAGATTTGTTCCTGTTGTAGGTAATTACTTCAGAGGTGGTGTCCAGTATTAGTTCCACCACAGTCTTTGAATCACTGATGTACGGGATGGATGGTAAATAGTTTACCGACGTTGTATCAGCTGTTTTCGATTATTCATCTTCGAATTATATGAGGGGATGACCGCGTTCGATGAAGTTGACGCGATTAGGGAGAAAGCTGTCGTGGTCAGTCATTCACATGGAGGGACTGACGATAACTAAGAATCTTTTAGGATGCTCGATGTCTCGTACAAGATTCGAGCTGGGCTTTTCCGGAGTACCAGTCATGCGATACGGCTTCAGCCAACTTGCCTGGTTAAATTAAAATTAAATTATTTGGTTATTCCATCAAATCACAATGTATTTAAAATAAGATAATTAAAATATCATTCTGTGTTCCATATCGAATAATCGATTTACAATTGGAACAGTTACAACATGTTTCGGTTTTATTAAACCATCATCAAATAATTGTAATTGAGTTTTAAATTTAATATAATTTTACACCTGATGATGGTTTAATAAAACCGAAACATGTTGTAACTGTTCCAATTGTAAATCGATTATTCGATATGGAACACAGAATGATATTTTAATTATTTTAATTATCTTATTTTAAATACATTGTGATTTGACGGAATAACCAAATAATTTAATTTTAATTTAATAAATCACAATATGACGCAACTACACTATCTTGCCTGGTTAATGCAATTGAATTGAAATGCATAATTTCTGTGTAATTGCGGTAAATGTGAGGTCAGTGCTTTGACCTGTAAGATTTCTTGAAGCGCCTTGAATGTCTTATTGTGTGTCAGAAGGTACGTGGTCGTATTGTTTTTGAAGTTAGGAGTTTGCTAATAGTCGTCGAGGAAATTGTTTTTGTGTCCTCGCCAGCCATTGTGGCTTATAAGGTGTTTGTTCGCTCTAACCTTTTTGTAAACATTAAATTTGTATTGAACAGTCGTGTGCCTACAGGAGTCTGTTTCAACATATTCTGCCACCATGCTTTCATACCACAACTTGAGAACCTCTGACGTAACGTGTATTGATTTACATCGTCTTTACGTATTTAGTCCAGCCTTCTAAAATTACCGTATAACGAGTTTAAGCTCTGTATTTTATAAAGAAATGCATCACGTTGTTCCGGTGTATCTGCCGAATTATAATGTTATAAATACGGTTCTTTGCACGGAGATATGTTATCGCCTATAAAGAATTCAGCCGGTCGAATCAAAACTTGCATTGGGTGACTAGTTATAACAAAGAACAAATTTTGCATTTCGAAAGCGCTTTTATGAAGGGATTAAATCCCTATGTTACACGTAACATACGACCCAATGAACTTAATTTCTTCAAATTGAACGAATCTGTTCAAAATAAGCATGTTCTGTGCGGAAACTCAACATTTGAGTTGTTGCCTCGCAACATGTAAGAGGCTGGTGTAGATTAATGTGGAAGAGGTTTTTGAGCATGTCAGATTCGGTCATTGTGTTGTGGCGCTGTTCGTTGTGGCACGTCGTAAAAATCATGCCATTCTTTGTTCTGGTTTTATCTGCTATCAGCTATTCCACTCTGATGATTTTAGACAAATTATTGGAACGTGAATACAGAGTAAAATTAGTCAACGAAACATCAAAACAACGTCAGTTGCATGTTTAGGCCTGAATCTGTAAGGGACTGTTTTACAGAATCATTCTGAATGTTTTGAGATCGACATCAAAATTAACCAGGCATCGTATAATTAAATACAGCATAAATAGAGATTGTATTTCGAAAGTTGGAGTAAATGTAAAACGGAATGTTTTTATTTCACTAAT